CGTGAATTTTCATCTTCCAGCACTTGTTGCACAAATAACTATTAAGATATAGCGAGAGCCTAACCGTAGAAAACGGCTTGTTGATGTTGCGCTTCTTGAGAAGGAAGGCATTGTTGTCGCGGATTATCATCCAGTTCAAGTGCGACGACATCTTGGACTTCCTGTTACAATCATTATCAAATTCACCACAATTTCATATGTATCCTTGTATTATATTGCATCACGTTTTTTATTATGATTGTACATTCTAAACAAGATAGATTTATTTAGTTAAATCAAGTATTATCTATTAAATTCGACTAAATAGTTTGTTGATAGGTTATGTATACCCAACATCGTAAAAAAGAGATGATTTCTCGTAAATACTGTTGTACTACAGGGGATGTTTAATAATTTAGAATATTTCACGATCGTTAAATAAGTATTTCGACGCAACAGATTATTAAAAGGAATATTAAATCCGATAATAAAGGCGAAATTATAACATACCACGTGCACCAGCAAGAAGAAGCGACAGGAAAGAGCTCTTCAAGATGGCGGGGAGAACACAGGTTACACAGGCTGCACAGGCAACACAGCACAGTAACACAGTGTTGTCAGGTCGTTTCAAAGATTTTCCCTATGATTAAAGGTGCCTTTTCATGCTGACGCTCGACGCTCATTTTCAGCGGCAAGAAGGTCGCATGACCACAATTGACGCCGGCGTCAATTGAAATTCATGAAAAGGAAAACAGCGTCAAAATTTCGGCGTCTTCGCGCTGCTTTGGCTTTGACGCTTGAAGTTGGAAAAATCCAACTTCTCTTTCTTGACGCTGGCATCATAGTGATGTCACGTGACGTCGCTCAACGCTGTTTTTCAGCGTCCCATGAATTGGCACCTAAATGCTTAAAGTCCTAAGCCGTAAGAAATTGACCAATCACATTCGTTCATTCTCCTCACATTCGAATGTGATTGGTTAATAATACTACGTTTACGCCAGCATTACTTCTGTAGTAACTTACGCAAAACTTATGATAATTTACTCCGCGTAGACGATTGAATTATCAAAAGTAAGGGCCAAAGCACATATGACAGTCGTAGTCGTGGACGTAAGTAACGCACAAGCTTTGGCGTATCTTGATTTGTCAGGTCGAGGACTACGACCGTCGTATATCGCTACGCCATGTTATGTGCTTTGGCCCTAACGCTCGCGTAAACATAGTATAAGACTAAAAACAAATTCTTTATTATTTTATCCAAATATATTACAATTAATTTTAATCAATATAAAATATTAATTGTTACAAAGTGGAATGAGAAAGAAGCAAAAACTAATAAAGATATTATTCTTATATATATTGAAGAAATAAACATGTAACAATACACATATGAGATTAATATGAATATATATAAAATAGCGTTAAAGCGTCCCGATTTTATAAATTAGAAATTCTAAACATTACAAGTTCTATACTAAAAAGTAGAAATCTTAAAAATTTAAATCACATGATATATACAGTAACATATATATATATATATATATATATATATATAAAACGCATAATATTTATTATAATACACAAGTAAAAGAACATAAGAGAATATACATATAAGAAACTATATAAACATAATAACTTATCTCACACATCATACATTGATGAGTTGAATTTTTCAATCATTGTATTATAGTTAAGTTAATACAAAATCTACACAGATAATATTCTTACTTTTTACATTAATCTCCATCTTTTCACTAACTAAAACTGATCCTGAGTTTAAGAGAAATAATAATAGTACCCACATTCCATTAATTAAAAAATATCTTTGAAAAATAACAAAAGAGTATTTATTATAAACGCAAAAAATACCCGGAAAAAAATGTTAACGTAGATAAAATTTTAGCGCTATAACTTATTCTTCTTCTCTTCCCAATCCCATCTTTCTTCTCCTTTAGAAAAGACTTTCATTTGCGAATTTGTATCGATATTCAGGTAATTGTATTTTCCGCTTTGTGAACCGGTCACCGGCAACCAGAAATTTGTAATAGGCGTTGGGTTCCTAAATCAGATTGAGAAGTAATCATTAATATGTGACTAATGTGACTAATAAATTGAAATATCGTAATTAAAAAAACACGCCCAAAAAAAAAATTAAATTTCTCGTACCCTGTTTTAGCAAAATCTGTCCACATTTGCGTTAAACCATTCATCATCTTATAGTCTTCTGAATCAACTGCAAGTGGTGACAAGCCGAAATTTTTCATTATACTAGAATAAAACAAATACCCCAGATCCTCCGAATGAGACACACCTATAAAATATATTATCATCATTTAACCGTTAATTAAATCTACAAAATAACCTTCTAAATACTTTAAAAAAGATTACTTTGTAAATTAAATATTATAAAATAGAACTATTTTTTTGTTTCCTTAAATTCATATAAATTTAGAAATTAAAAAATTTAGAAACATTTACAATTATTTTATGTTGTAATTACGATATGAGTAATTATGATATACATACTCTCTAAAATTAAAAGTCGCCAGATAGTTTTAAATTAATTAGTGATAATACCTGGAATCCGAATATCAAATATTTTTCTCATGGGAGAAGTTTCACTCTCGTATGAAAATTGATACAGATACGTCGCTTTATTATTATTATTCAATTTTGTCTGAATATCCACTACTTCCATTATACTGCGACAGAAGAATACGTCACTGAGAAAATCAACGTAATTCATTAGAGTTTCTTCTGACAGTGCTTTATCACCGAAATATAAAGATCGCAATTCCTCGACTGTGATTGACATTTTTGATATTTTTGATAAACATCCGGGCGATAAGGTGCTCTTGAAATCGGAATTAATTGTTTTAAAATCTTCTTTGCTTATGTCTGAAATAATTTTAAAGACATTTAGAACTGTCCGTTATACAGATCGTTGCATAATAAATAATGAATATTTTAATAAACTTTTTTTTTTTAAGTTAAGAAATAATTGTGATTTAAGCACATTTGCCAAAGAAAATCTGTTGTCAAAACATTATTTAAAATTTTTCATATAAAGTGG